AAAAAGAAAGAGAGAGAGAGAGAGTGAGAGAGAGAGAAAAGGAAAAGGCATTGTTGGCATCTCTATCAACTTTTCTGTCTTCAAAATCCCTCATAGCCACCTATCAGAACTGACTTCCTTCCTGGGAGCTGGGCTACTTTGGACCCTCGCACGACCTTACTTGTCCAACACTGCAGGGGTCATAGAAGTGGACTTGATCTTTCCGCGCCCTGACACTTACTTCCCATCGGAGGCTATGACCGCCATCTTCGCAATCTAGAACCGGAGCCTCACGCGGAACATCGATCCGAACCTAATTTAGGATATCGAGTAGCAAACGTCTATATTTATCAGGCATAAATCTCAGGGTCCCGGTGCATGTGTGAGACATGAAATGATCATGTACGACCCGTATTCCCTGCATATGAGCAGCACGCGCCTGAGCATTGACGTATCCCTACATTTTACCTAGACCCCCAGATACTAGAAAATGCAGTGACAACTGGGAGCTACGGGGAACCCCGCTCCTGCTTACTTTCTTACCAACTATATCATTTGGGAGCCTGATTTTCTGGCGGAAACGCACGATATGCTCCATCAGCCGCACACTCAGGTGTTCAATGTCTCAAATTTTCTGCATGTCTCGGCTTCTCTTATGCAGTTATTTTGTCTCCGGCCCTACTTCCAATCCCTACAAGGTGGAGATCCACCTATCAACTGTAGAGGTTCTTTCGGTGGGCAGGACCACTAGTGTATGCGCTTTGCCGTGTCCCAAAATCAGCCCACCCCCCTAGAATATAGCCTCAGCAGCGCATGTACACCAGTCCAGGGAACATGGTTCCTGGCAAAACTTGAATTGCTCGCCTCTGTTCTCTTCGTGCGACCCTTTTCTTGGCTCCTGTTGGGGCTCATAATTAAGCGACGCTCGTCCTTTGTGCACCAGTCAACAAGCTGTACACAAATAAGATTTGGCATCACAGACGTTTGCATGTAACGCTCGACCTCATGTCCGCAACTTGGCGCATGATTAGTCGTTCTTGGCATAAGCAAGGGCCGACGCGATGTCACTATGTCGGAAGCTGTCTGACCTCCAATTATTAAAGCCCCGATTGATCCGGCATCAGTGGCCGGATTCGCAGACGGACGTGGTTGCGGGAGATTGTCTTCACGTCTCAACCCCGCATCCCAAAGCCATTGTTGCTTTTGGCGGGGCTCGCTTAGAACAGGTATTTACCCGGCAGCGGCATCCTACCTGCTATACCCGGAGCGGGGACCCTGGTACTCTAGTGAGACATCTATGCAGCTGGGTCACACTGAGCTATACACAGAGTATGGTCGAATGCTCGGGTAGCCGTCGGCCTGGTCTGTCGGTTATGTTACTCATTCCTGCTAAAAATACTGCAGAAATAGATATAAGAGCGGGCTAGACACTGCGTTGAGAAGAATATTCACCGGCATACCAACTCCAGTTCTCACTTCATTTACTCTTCAACAAACCCCAAGTACCCAATTAATAACATGATTTTCAAGACCGCTGTTGTCCTGGGATTGCTCCCACAGGTGCTGTGTGCTGGCGTTGCAACGACGCTCGCCACAACCACCACATCCTCTGCAAAACACGAGCCGACCCAGCCGGGCATACCATCCAACTGTGACAAGTTCCATCTTGTCGGGCCTGGGGATCAGTGCGATACCATTGAGGCCCAGTACGGCATCACGGACGCCCAATTCAAGGCCTGGAACCCCAGTATTAACTCCGGTAAGTGTTCCTATTCAGCACACGTTTTGCTATGGCTGATTCCATGTCCCACTCGTGGTAGCATGCACCAATCTCTGGCTGGACTATTATGTTTGTGTCCATGTACCCGATACCACAACAACTCCTACTACCACGAGCAAGCCACCCGGACCCACGGACACTCCCCCCGAGCCTCGTATGCCTGGCATCGTGGACAACTGTAAGAAGTTCTACCTAGTCAAGTCCGGTGACGACTGTTACTCTATCGACACTGCGGCGGGCATCACCTTCGCTCAGTTCCGCTCGTGGAACACGATGGTCGACGCCTCCTGCTCGAATCTGTGGGTGGACTACTACGTGTGCATAGGTGTCTAGTTTAGTCGTTCCTTATGCCGAAGCATGAGACAGTTGTTGTTGTTGTTGTTGTTGTTGTTCTTCTTCTTTGTGGATGGGCGACACAGAAAGTAATCAGGGACTGAAAATTGAGTAACCACTGAAAAAGGCCGCCTGTGAATTTTCTTTCATCTGTTGTATTCTGTGGATCAGCGTAAGTTGACAAAGTTGTACTAGGAGTCATGACTTAATGAGGATTGCCATTCCAAGGGCGCAATGATTCAGTTGTCCACAGACTAGCAGATAGGCAAATTGTGATCAGATCAAGGACTTTGACAAGCGAGATTGTCTTATTCACTATTAAGTGAATAATAAATTGATCGCAATACTCTATACGATCCACCAGGCGACATATATCGTGTCCTAATAATAGAGTGACTGCTAGAGGGTCTATTGGCCTGTCATAACCGTGGTATAATGACACTGATGATGGACGGCACTGATGATCTCACCATGTTCATGGAAAAGATAGGAACTTTTTAGAAAGCGTATGTGGATATGACTGCTCCAGACAACCTCCTCACATTCGTTATCTTATAGCAATATACTTTTTGCAAAGGTATGATTACAGTTAAATTATTACGAGCTGGCCAACACTTTGCTTTGCGGTTTCCATCAAGTTCATACAAGTGGGAACCCCAGTCGATTCAGGAAGAAGCCAACTACCTATCTGACCGAGTAGTCCCCTGGTCGCCAATTCATCCAGCATCCCAACCATGTCGTTGAGGCCTGGGTGCCGGCCCTGCTTGAGTAACCTTCCCGAGTCCCCGGAATAAAAGTCCACACTAAGCCCATACACGTCGGCCCTCAGGAGTCCGCGCATCGTTTGTCGCCAAAGCTCCGGATCTAGCGGGTGGTCCTTGAGCATCTTGACGTCCGGGCATGCTCTGTCCCCCGCCAGGTCACCCCCATAAACCACCGCTTTCTTCGAGTTTGAATGCAAGTCCGCGGCTTTCGGCTACTGCGAGAAATGCCTCACAGTCGATCATTTTCAGGAGTTGATGATAGAAACCAGGGATTAACGAAAGGAGGGTACCAAGAGCCCGCAGTTTCTCGATAGGATCTTGGGAAATTATCATTGAGCGAGAGAAGGAGATGCACCTGAGAGCATCATGGACGGTTCGAACAGCAGTACGGACGACTGTAACACTCGGGACCGCCTCGTTTGTCAGAGCGCGGAGTACTCTAGTAAAATAGTAAATACGGGAAAGACAGCTGCAGCCACCCGTGTCTTGGGAGAAACGCATAGTGGATGTTCCGGCTTCCCAAGATTTGGGAACAGGAACCGCGCGGTCTGCAATATGTTCATCCAGAAATTGAATGCTGGTAGGTGCAGGTAGGTTCGTGTCCGTTTGCAAGATTCTCGTATCGCCTACCGTAAAATGAGATGCACCGCTGTTTGACACTTCGGGCTGCCTCAAAATATGAGGTGCTGCCTTTCGGGACGACCAGTGGGCTTTTGAGCAGAGTAGCGACATTGGATACCTAAGTTTCTGCAGCGTGAGCAGCCACCTGGCTGCTTCGTGCATGTCTGCTTCCGAGTACCTTCGATACTAGAATTCAGCATTATCCATGACAATACTTAATAACCCAGACTAATGTACAGGGTGACATACGACACTTGTCGCACGATTGGCGAAGGTTCCGCTGCGACGATGGCTGACTGCCTGAGTCCATGCTTGCAGGATGGATGTAGATGAGTACTGTTGGAGGGTGCCGTGGGACTGTCGGCGGCCAGCGGATGTGTTCGTTGAGTAAGGTTCTGCCAGTTGTATCTGACGGAATAACTCGGTGGTATAGAAAGAGGTACCTTTAAAGGTTATGATGTACAACCAGATCACTACTGAAGTAGGAAGCGGTGCAGGCGGTGACATGGCCACAGTGGCCCTGTTCGTCCCAAAGACATTCTTGTCGGACTCTGCCAGTAGGCCCCATCTCTTGGCCGGTTTGGGGTCTCTAGTTTAAGCCCGTAGGTTGGGTATAATACGTAAGTTTATGTAGATCTCAAATCTGTAGATCTTGGCAGGTACCCGTAGATTAATAAACAGGTACAGATTAGAAATATGTAACTAACGTAGAGAATAATTAACTCTGATTATAAATTTTATACTTGGATACGTTTTAAACAGGTATCCCGCGGGTTCACGGTTGACATACCCAAACCCCCGTAAACCCACCGGTTGGGTATGGGCTTAGGATCTGAACTCGCGGGCCGAGTACGGTTTCTGATGTTGGACCCAAACCCGACCTGTGGCGTAGTCTAAGCAACAATGTTCCGTAACTTAAGAGAGCCAATTAAGCTCCGTGGCACTATATAACACTACTAGATCACCACCAACCACACTTTGATTGTTAATGGAGGAGTTAATTAACACAAACGACACTTTTTTTGATATTGAAGTAAACCAGTTGTATTAGAGGATACCCTCCTTCTGCCGTTTTTGGTTACCATGACGGCTTTCCTTTCACTGGAGCTTGCTCTAACCAAAGTCTCCAGGTCCTGCGGCGACATGAGGTATACGGAGCATGCTGGGAGTGGGCCATTATAACGCCCATATTGGTTGGATTCCAATGCGTCATCTAGCATGGAGCTCCTGTTTCACCAGTGGCTCCAAGATGGAGGACGTGAGGCATAGAAGGCACCTCTGTACTGAATGAACTAAGTATGGCGAGTGAGACAGCGGACGATGACTTAGATGACTTAGATGACTTAGGCAGATATGCAATTAATCTGTACATTTCTTTCTGCGGGGGAGGTTGATTGATTGACAACCGAGTATCACTTCCATGGTTACTGAAACACGTCCAGTTCCTATGGTTTCTGGCCCGGGGATACCTCGGTGCAACTTCTAGCTTCCCATGCCAGGTTGAGTTGAAGGGTGGAGCCTTGATGTGGATCAGCGCGGAGGGTTTCGAACCTTAGTATCGTGCAGCATTTGTAATATTGCTGATCCTAGATAGACTGTCTCAGAATTCTCTCATTACCGTGAAAGCCTAGGTGGAACTCCCGTTCTCATGGGTTAAACATTCGACTGGTGAGCAATCATAAACTATCCAATGACTAAGAAAACTGTGACGGGAAAAGTGCTTCCTGAGCTCCAGGAGCCATCCGGCGGCGCAAAGTTAAACCATGTTCACCTAATCAGGGCAAGACATGGAGATCACATTTGTAATATGCTACATTCTCCTCTTGCTTAAGAGGGTATGATAGAGCTGTTGTTGGTCTGCCTCTTTTCACTGTGTCAATAAGCCACCTCGAAACATTCATCCTTACCATCTATATCGCTTGATTCGTTTCATTACTTATTCCAACTCACAATGTCAACCCCCACTCAAGTCGTCATCCCGAAAGATGCCTGGATGCTTGTCACCGGTGCAAACGGGTACATCGGCTCGACAGTCGTAAACACACTCCTTGAACTGGGGTACAAAGTCCGAGGCACGGTGCGAGCACCGAAACCCTGGCTGGATGAATTCTTTGTGTCGAAGTATGGGAATGGTAGGTATGAGAGCGTGGTTGTGCCGAGATTAGATGATGTTGGTGAACTCGAGAAGGCTTTTCAGGGGATTGAGGGGGTGGCTCATGTGGTATGTATAGTATACCTTATTTCGATTCATCTTGTTCAAGTACGCTGTCTATTGGATGATGGATAAATGGATGACAGGGTACAGGCATCAGACCTAGCAATGAATCCCAAGCCAAACGAAGTCATCCCTGGTGTTGTATCTGCCACAATTGGAATTCTGGAGGCTGCCAGACGTGTGAAGACTGTGAAACGGGTGGTTTTGACATCGTCTTCGTCAGCGTGCTATACTACTCAGCCAGATGTGGAGGGGATTGTCATTGACGAAGGTAGGTGCAGCGTACCATACTTGTCTCAATGCTAATGTGATATATGTATAGATTCATGGAATGACGCCGCCATCGCAGCAGCCTGGGATGAAAAGACACCTCAAGCCCAAAAGCCCATGGCCGTGTATGCTGCATCCAAGACTGAGGGTGAGAGGGCGGCTTGGAAATGGATGGCTGAGCATAACCCGAGTTTCAAGTTCAATACTATTGTGACGAGTGCGAATGTAAGTTTTTTTAACCCGTCAATGAGGGCTCATGTCGATCTAACCTGTTGTTTGTTGTTCACTGGTAGTTTGGCACTATACTCCATCCCCAGATCCACGGGTCGTCAATGGGCCAAACGGCCAAGCTACTTGAGGGTGATCCAACCATATTGCACCTACCTCCGCGTAAGGCATCCATAGATCCCTCCCCCTATTTATTGACAACTTAGTTAACAGAATCATGTAGTTTGGTTCGTCGACGTCATTGACACCGCGAAACTGCACGCCATCGGCCTCCTCGACCCAAATGTGCAATCCCAGCGTCTATTTGGTTTCGCACAGCCGTTCGCCTGGGATGATATCATCTCTATCCTGCGGAGACTGCGGCCCGATAATGACAAGATCCCAGATCCGTTGGACCACACAAGGGACTTGAGTAAGATTGTTCCAGCGAGTCGGGCGGAGGAGTTGCTGAAGGCCTTTTTTGGGAAGGGTTGGACTTGTTTGGAAGAGTCGCTTGCGGAAGGGATTGTTGGGAAGTAGGTATGAAATCCAGAATGTTGAGGGGGGTGTGGATAGATAGGCATAGAATGAGAGCTTGCAGGTGCATCTGGGAAGCTATCCCTGTCTGTATTATCAATAACAATCAACGGTATTCAGTAAGTAGAACTGCGACAAGCAGAGTAAAGGTCCGCGAACCATCTTTACCAGATTCTATTTCTGGAGTTTCGCTGTTCGTGGAAAGCTTTCTGTCTTGAACACTGATTTTGGCCATCAAAGAAAGCGCCGATGTGGTTTAGTATTCTGTGCTCTCAGTGGATTTGGAGCTAGAAAGTAGTAGTTCATTGTTAAAGTCACCCAAAAGATTGCCCAGTCTAGAAGTTCTCTCAGTTCGAACAGGGATGCCCAACATCGCTAAAAATAACATATAACTCAATGTCAATTGATCAAGAGCCATCAAGAAGATATTGACTGCAAGGCTCGTGGATGGCACAACAAATACAAAATAACAAAATACCACAAACGCCACCAACCTCATTAAGACAAATTACTACTAGTAGTAGTCATACCATGTAAGTCCTATGCGGTGATGAAGATATCCTTCTCACTGGGGCCAGGTCGCCCGTCCATCAAAGAGTTGAAAGACAAACTTGTCGGCGTACCAGTAACCGTACCAGGAGTGACTGTGAATATTGTTTTCGGTCGTAGGGTTCACCTGAGATTGGTCATATACGCTTCGCCGTATCATTATAACCAAAGAACACGCCACTCATATCCCATTTATCTCGACTAAATTTCACGATTGCGCTTTGTGAACCATAGAATACGCCAACCCAAGACATTCTCGCGACGTTTGAAGAAAGAAGGTAAACTCAGCCAAACTCGGGCTTCGTGACAGTTCATCCCCGGTTGCACATGTAGAAAGGCGAGAGATCATTGCTTCCATTAACTCGAGATCGCTTTGAGCTGCAGTACTGTTAGGGTTGTCGAGCACACTAGCGAACAAAATGTTGAACGCAGAAAAGATGTATAGGGCTACAAGTCTGGTGCTTGTTAGTCCTGTGTATCATGCAGTGGAAACGGAGGATAGAGAATTTTCATATACCGGATCCCAAACGGCCACCATCTGGGAGGAAGGGCCTTCAATAGAAGCGCAGTGTGGCGGGCAGCGCCTACACATGCCGTGTGAGAGAACTCCGTAGCTCGGGGCCGAGTTGGGGTCTTCGGGGCCCGGAAGAATATTTGCGTCTGATGCAGTAAAATAACGGTATTGTGATACGCACATAGGAGTGACACGGTAGGAGACTTCAGATTGCCCGGTAGTTTGTTCACGAATTCTATTGCATGGGCAGGGTCAACAGGTAAGGCTCGTTGAAAACTTGTTAATTCTAGTTGCAAGGCCTGTACGATTGAAGATTGTCCATGGGGGGACATCTGCGAGGCCTTTGCCCTGTAGAGAGACGAACATATCTTATGTCGGACGATTGATAGGCGGCGAAACCAAGTAAAAGTATCTATGTCAGAAAGACCGGAGATCTGAGCGATAGACTCATATACCCAGTCTGGATGGGGGCTGTCCGCGCCGAGATAGGCTGGGGCATTGCTGGGTGGCAGGCCTTGCCACGGACGGTATCTGTGAAAATTAGACAGCCTGTTTCAATGTGGTCTCTAGGCAAGACCCACAGCTCATCCATTGTATAACCAAGAGACAAAATCAACATTGGTTGCTCTTGTTTTGTGCATGAAGACGGGGGGATCACGCAAGTATCATGAATTCCAAATTCAGCGCATGAGCGAATTGCGATAGATAATATATTCTGATACATTGGGGTGTCAAACCCATTGCATGAAAGAAAAACCTATCGAGTTAACATGAGCAACCACCGCATCAAGTGAGGATAGGATACTATATCACACGCACAATGCCTAGGAGTGCTTGAACAGCCATCAAGTCAGGTCTGCGTAATAGAAGCTCCGGCACAGCGGCAAGTGCATTTTTGTAGTATACATTCGACTTCGCTCTAGCACCACTCTGGTCATTTTGGTGCAGGGATCGGTAGCGATAGCCAATTGCCAATGCTATGTTTAGGCCAGCCCACCATGATGGATCCCCGGGTCGCCTTCGTTCATAGCTGCTATGCAAAAGATCTGTGAAAGTATCAGGGTGGAATAGGGGAAATACATCTTTAGTGTATGTGAACAACGTGCTTAGGACTTCAACAGCCTCTTGCTGTGGAGGTAGTGCAGTGAATACCGGCAGTCGACCGTTACTTAAATCAGTGTTCAGAAGATTTTCTTTTGATGATTGGGCGTCATTGATATTGTCTCGAAGGGCCCCGAGTTGAAAACCCATCTCAGACTGTAACCATTCTTCCCATTGAGCTGGCAAGCAGTATAATGGTGTTTTACACGCTGAGAATTATTAGTAGTGGGAAGCAATGAGTTGGTAGCGAAATCTCACAGAGCAAGCTAAGCCAGTCATGGAGAAACGTCCTTGTCCACTGCTTATATGCGATAAACTCATTAACAAGCTCTGCCTCCACCCCGGCTTGGCATTGGATGCCCTCTTTCCGCTGCGGATGGAATGCATCGTTTAGTCGCATACCCGGAGGCTGTGGTCTCTCTTTATTTTTATTCCTGGAGCGACAAATTAGCGATGCTCATGGCCTGTCTGAGGCGTGAGCCTCTGATTCCTCACCCGATGCCAGGACGCCGAGCTACACGCGTCCGACTCGTTCGAACACAAACCGCACCTCGCCGTTGACAAACAGAACATGTAGCCTGGTTGGATGCCCTTTCGCATTTGACTTTCCACTTACGACAAAGCTCACACGCCTAATCCTTTCGGTTAGAGAGTATGACAGATTAGCAGGGACACCGTACTACCGGTTGTTGTCTGGGTCTTTCTTCACTGGTAGTGTTTAACAACCCGCTTGCACTCCGATCCACCGGGTCCATTGTTTCAATTGAGACAAGTTAGATAACAGTATCGGCTGTCTGGGACTGTGGCGCGAACTAAAGGGAAAGAATGCTGGGCATGAAAAACTGAGGTGCGAGGGCATAACTCCCGTGGTCGGTTATGCGGCATTCGCATGTCATAGAGGGAATTGTGCTCAATGGGGACGGGCGACCTTTTTGTGGGGACGCCGGGGATCGCATCGGGCAGATCTTACCGTAACATTACCATCCTTGCATAAGGAGGTAACGCTAAAATATGCTTGTCTGTATTAAAGCTTGTGAGAAGTCAAGACGACCCAGGATGTCTCCACAGATCGATATCTCAGCAAATCAAGTACTCATTCTATACAACTCAGCTCTTGAACGGAGAACTGGAGTCTGGGCGGCCATTCCTTTTATGACGGATAGCACGAGTAGGTATAATGCAGGCCCTACACACCCAATGAAGGCGTCAATATTGAAGTTTCTTCGTGTATCACAAAACACTACCTTCATCAATTGTAAAATTCTACTTGAATATATATGCCATCATTTCTCGCTATACAAAAACAAAACAAGATTCGATTTCCAATGCAGCCTAGTGTAATTTGCATGCTTCTTCCAGAGCCAACAAGCTATCGACAGTGTCCTTCACAGTTTCCTGCAGCGTGTGGAAATTGATGCCCAGAAGAGTCTTGATTTTGTTACTCGAGACTTTGATGGATGCCGTTTCGTATTGTCCAGGCTGGCCAATAGGGACTTTATCCCTGGCCTCGGGGACGACTGATCGAAGAATATCGCAAATTTCTTGATAGGTGTAGGCTCCAGAGCTAACAATAAAACGCTCTCCTGCTGCTTTCTGGGATTCAAATGCGAAGAGGTGGGCTTGAGCAACGTCGCGAACATCCGCAAAGGCCGGCAAAATTACCGATGGTATCTCAGTGCTGCTACCATTGAATAGCCGGTAGATATCACCCGCACTTGTATTCAATTTCTCCAGAGTAGGAACATGATGCTCCACGGGACCATAGATCATGGGAGGGCAAATTGTGGTAAGGCTGAAGTGAGGCGCGTTCGCTCCCATGTATTGCCAGGCAGCTTGCTCCGCAATTGCCTTGGAAGCAGCGTATGCGACTATGCCGTGGGCACTTTCAGCCTGTTCGAATGTCATGGGATTCCAGTCTTCTTCAGTATATGTATAGTTGGACTGCGGACCTTTTTCCACGTCTATCACGGCAGCCATCGAAGACGTGATCACGACTCGACTAACTTGCGGTGCGTATTCCTGAGCCGCCCGAAGGATTGACGTGGTACCGTTAATCGCGGGCCACAAAAGGTCATGCTTGTTGTCTTGCACTGAAATCTGGAATGGGGAAGCGGTATGAACGATCTAGATAGCTGAGAGTTAGAGTCTCCGACCCTTCAGGTACCGATCAAAATACAGGGATACAGAGTCTTACACCGTCGACCCCTTTCACAGCTTCATTGAAGGCTCCGGGCTGTGCTATATCCTCAACAATAGCGAACGACAGCCGATCACTATACTGCGAGAATACCTTGCGTACGTTCGCTGCGGCCTGATCCGATCGAACAGTCCCACGGACATGATAACCCTGCTGAAGAAAAGCTTTCACAATATGAGTTGCAAGGAAGCCTGAGGCCCCAGTGATGAGGATAGTCTTGCTGTGGGCTTCAGTCATGATGGTAATGCAATTGGGTGTAGATTTGAACGGTTTGTTGGCTGGGGAGAGTCCGAGACTACATTCCATGTAGACAGGTAAATATAAATACTGTCTCGATATTTTGAAAGCCTACATTGCCGCCTCTTCCAATGTAGCAGTTTATCCTTGAATACCTCAGCATAACAGGTTATGTCGGTGGACTTAATCATACTCCGGAGTAGAGGAGTAAGTATATCACGGTATCGGAAAGCATAACGCGTACGGGAAGCGGAACGCCGTATATCCCGTCCATAAATCTCCACTTGGTTTCAGTCTTCTTCTTCTTCCTGCGCTATTTTTGAGGAAGGCAAATAATTGACCGCTGATTTCTTCATCGGTCTAATTGACCCACACTCGAGTGTCCTGGCCACCTTATCTATTCCAAAGCGTTTTACAACCCCACCAAATCCTACCCCGTGTGACGAATGCACTCAATACATTATGCCGGTATACTATAGTATCACAGCTGTATATTCAGCAAGGATGACTGTGTGTCACTGGGTGCAGTGGGTCTAATCCTCATTGCGGTGAGGGAACTGACGTGAGCAAGACTCACTATCTTGTGTTATCCGGGATGGAAAGTCGTGCCGTGTGGAATATGTTCCTATACTACGATCCCGATATAGTCTCCACCGGTACTTATCCGTTTAAACACGGCAATTATGCAACGGAATGTATTATCCCAAGATCACAGAAGGCTTGTACACAAGTTTACCATCATAGGGCCAATATACCTCCACTCCCACATCGGAAGGGATCAACCAAACGGTGGTATATATAATCCCAGTTCAGTCAGGGGACGATTATCCCTCGTACAAGATCATCACATCAAAAGTCTCACATTCTACACAAGATTCTGCTTAACTTTACACTATATTGTTTCTATTACAACGCTCTCCCAGTCAAGTAGTCATGGGCTCCACAAACTTCGATCAGCGACTAATGTGCTGCGTTGTCGACGAGTTGGCGGAGAGTAGACCAGAGCAGCTCTTCTGCGTACAATCTGTTTCCTCCGATTTATCCCAAGGTTGGCGAAATGTGTCCATGAGAGACCTCGCCGGTGCCGTGGATTACACGGCCTGGTGGATTGAGATGGCAATTGGAAAAGGCTTTGACGGTGAGCCCCTGGCTTATATTGGAGCCAATGACATCCGCTATGTGGCTTTCTATTTGGCTTGCATGAAGACTGGCTACGCGGTAAATGCTCCTATGAGTTATTCAGCAATGAAGTGAAGCTCTATCTAATCAACACATAGGCGTTGTTGCCTTCTCCAAGGAATTCGATCGTGGCCACATCGCACGTTCTGGGTGCCACCAAATGTTCAAAGATTGCCTATAGTGCTGAGAGACACAAAATCGCCGAAGAAATACGGGACAATGTACAAGGAGTCCGATTGTTTGAGATACCGAACCTCTGGGAGGTATTCGGTGAACGGGCTGCGCCTTACACTTTCGACCGGACTTTCTATGATTTGCAAAATAAACCATGCATTATCATCCATAGTTCAGGGACCACCGGTAAGCCTGAAAAGTTGGATGACCTCTGCTTGTGATAGGCTAACCCTCCCTCTTCAGGTCTCCCTAAGCCGGTATATCTGACAAATGGATTCTTCAGCGTTATTGACAATATTCACAGGATACCAACTCCGCATGGCAGACTGAACAAGTCAATCAGCTCAGTAGCGCAAGGTAAACGTCTGTTCACCATGGCTCCGATGTTCCATTTAATGGGACTTGTCACTCTCTCGAGTGCCATTTTCCACAATACGCCCGTGGTCTTGAGCCCTGAAAGACCAATGACTCCGGTACTGCTTAGTCAAATCCTAGAGACTGCGCGTCCGGAAGCAGCTCTGCTCACACCATTGGTCATGCAAGAGTTGTCCGCTTTCGAAGAAGGTTTGATGGGCTTACAAAAGTTCGAAGCAATAATGTTCGGCGGCGCACCGCTTGCACCGGAGGTCGGCAACAAGTTGAGTGAAAAGGTGGCTCTCGTCTCGGTCATTGGCTCCAGTGAAGCTGGGTTCATGCCAGCCTTGATTTGCACGCACCGTGAAGATTGGGAATACTTTGAGTGGAACCCATATAGTGGTATACACATGGAGTCCATTGATGATGGAGTGTTTGAGGCTGTCATACGGAAGGGCGAACATCATGAGTTCTCCAGTATCTTCCATACCTATCCTGATATCACTGAATATCGAACAAAAGATCTATACACGCCACATCCGACTAGGTCAGGGCTGTGGAAATATCACGGTCGTCTTGACGACGTTATTGTGCTCAGCAACGGTGAGAAGTTCAACCCGATCGACATGGAGAATATCGTGGAGTGTCATTCCTTAGTTTCAAAGGCCGTTGTTATTGGTCAAGGGCGATTCCAGTCTGCGTTACTCGTACAACCAAACTGGGAGCAATGGAGTGAGGATCAAGACAAGGAGGATTTTATCCAGAAAATATGGCCTACCGTTGAGAGGGCGAATGCCATTGCTCCCGGCCATGCCCTTGTCTTGCGCACAAAGGTTGCCCTAGCTAAGAAAGATACACCCTTCGCGCTAACCCCCAAGGGTACAGTCCAGAGAAGACAGATATCCGAAGACTACGAAAGTGAAATTGACGCTTTATACGCCAACGACGACGAGGAGTGCATTGATGGTTTACCACAGAGCACAGACCTTGAAAGTATCCAGCAATATATCCGCACAGTGGTGTCACAGCTACTTTCCGTTGAGCAAATCAGTGGTACTAGCGACATATTCTCACTGGGTATGGATTCGCTCCAAACACTGCAACTGAGCAAGATCCTGCAAACCGCCGTCCAGCATCTTTCTACTGATCACCACTCTGACCCGATTACAAGCCAAAAGCTATACGCTTATCCGACTCCTGATAGGCTGTCACAGTATGTTTACGGGCTGATAAATGGTCAGACCAAGGAGGGCAATACTGAGGATGAGGAGGCTTCTAGACCTGGGAGAATTGCAGGATTGATCAAAAAGTACACCGGTGATTTACCGCAGAGAAAAATCACAAGTTTCAGCAGGTCAGCAAAGCATGCAGTTATTCTGACCGGTTCTACTGGATCATTAGGTAACTACATACTGAATGAGTTACTCAATGATGGAGAGATCCCCACCATCTACTGTCTCAATCGGGCAGAGGATGCAAGACAAAGACAGATCGACAGCTTCAAGGAAAAAGGACTTGCAATTCCGCACGACTTCGATGAACGGGTTGAGTTCATACACACCCAGTTTGGAGCTCCAAAACTTGGCTTGCCCGCCGACAAATATACCGAACTCACGGAGTGCGTGGATCTCATTATCCACAATGCATGGAAGGTCAATTTCAACCACAGGGCTGAGGCATTCGAGGATCCCCATATCCGAGGCGTACGTAACCTGGTGGACTTCAGTCTACGAAGTGCCCATTCGGCACATATCCACTTCATCTCCTCGATCTCAACCGTGAGTGCGTGGGGCCCTCAGCACGGCCCATCCGTGCCCGAAATCCCTCTAGAGGATCCTGATGTGGCGTTGCGCCAAGGGTATGGGGAATCCAAGTTTGTCGGCGAGCGCATCTGTGCTCTCGCGTCAGCTATTGCAGGCGTGCCGACCAGCATCCATCGCGTGGGACAGATCGGTGGTCCAACGATGGAAAAGGGGCTATGGAACCGACAAGAATGGTTACCTTCTCTGGTTGCGACATCCAAGACAATCGGAAAAGTACCAAGTACCCTTGGTGCAATGCCGGTTGATTGGATTCCTATAGTACGTTCCCTTGCCACCCGGGTTCCCTTGGGTTTTGTCTACTAATGGTATCTATAGGATATTATGGCCAAGATCGTGGTCGATATCACCCAGTCCCGACGCGCTACCGAGGATGTCACCAGAACGGCCGCTTTCCACCTCGTCAACCCTCATGCTGCAAGCTGGGAATCACTTATCCCGGCCATCCAGAAGTATTATACCGCTGAGATTGTCGACATGAATGACTGGATGGCTGCCTTAGAGGGGTTTAGCAATCCAACGGATGGTGATTTACAAGACAAGCCGGCTCTCAAAATCATAGATTTCTATAGGGGATTGGCCAGCAATCATGGTACATTTACTAGCATGATGGAGAATGTGAAGACACAGGCAGCTAGTAAAGCAATGCGTGATCTCGGGCCGATTGACGGGGCTATCATGGAGAACTGGATCAAGCAATGGCAATTCTGAGGATTGGGCATTCCACTGCCAATCCCATCTTGACTCTATGGACCAAGGGGGGCGTCATACACACTTGAAAGGCTTTGGTTTCGCAGAAGGCAGTCTGGGGAACATCAGATACAAATGAAGATGTCATAATTGCTACAATATGAAACATGAGATAACGCACAAGCAAGTATAAAATAATAGAAGTATTGAAGCTATTAAACATTTGGCTAGGTGCTTCCCAGTTTATCCAAGTCTGGGAGGAATTTAGTGTGTTCAGTATAGCTTAATGCCTAAGGCTCTTCAGGGGAGCTGAGATTCCGGACGATTTTCGATGGCCCGAGAGGAGAGAAGAGAAGCCCCACCGAACCCCTCATTACGTATAAATAAATGATTGACAAGGGCAGCCAACCCCTCATCGCACCTCCACGACACATTACATACCATTCCCGACAATGAGCGAGGTCAATCCCACCAACATCGAGGCGCTCAAGCGCCGGATGCAATCCGTGTGCAGCGATTCCGACAAGGGCCTCCCCGGGGTTTCCGTCGCTGTAGTCGGACGGGATGGCAAGCAGCTGTTCAGCCACGCTGCGGGGAAACGGGGCCGTGACAGCGCCGAGCCCATGGCTGTGGACTCAGTTTTCTGGATCGCTTCGTGCACAAAGATGATCACTGGCATTGCGTGCATGCAGCTAGTCGAGCAGGGAAAACTGTCTTTGGATGACGCTGACCAAATCCACCGCATCTGTCCTGAATTCAACGATCTCCGAGTGCTCCAAGAAGATGGAACCTTGGTGGAGAGAAATAAAGGCATTAGTTTGAGAATGCTCTTGACTCATACTTGTCAGTATCCATGATGTTGTAAACTCAAACGAGAGCACTAATGTTGAACCATTGTAGCCGGTTTTGGTTATACATTCTATAATGAGAAACTGCGCGACTACGGCCGACCCGTTGGTTATGATGAGTTCTCGGGATACGCCGAGGACTTCAACCAACCGCTGGTCCACCAACCTGGGGAAGCTTGGGAATATAGCGTGAGTAACCACTGCCCCACCGTAACGAAGCGATGGCTGTTAACATCCAAGGAACGGCGCGATAGATTGGCATTGACTGGGCAGGTGTCGTGCTTGAGCGGGTTACAGGACAGTCGTTGAATGACTATTTCCATCAACACATCTTCGAGCCACTCGGCCTCAAGCATATCTCGATGATCCCCACAGAAGAAATGAAGGCAAAGCTCGCTTACATGCACCAGCGAGCGGCCGATGGTCAGCTCTCTGTCCGCGACCATCTGCTTCGACGAGCCATGACAGTGAAGAGTGAGAGTGACATCAAGTCCTACTTCAATAGCGGTGGAGCCGGATGTTTCTCAACTGCCGAAGACTACTCCCGTATGATTCCCTACTGAGCCGACACGCCCAGCAATGGACTGACACGTATTTAGAAATCCTCGCCGTTCTGTTGAACAACGGAACCTCGCCGAGAACCGGCAAGCAGCTGCTTAAGAAGGAGACTGTTGATGAGATGTTCCGGAACCAAATCGAGAACCTGCCCCCTCTCAGCGAAAAGCATTTCCCGGATGCGAAAGCAGACCTGTCACACTCCAGTATCGGCATTCACCCAACTGTCGAGGGAGATCGCCAAGCTGGGGACTTACCTTCCTGCTGAGTGGAGGTTCCACCGGGCGATCTATTGGGACTGCGCAGTGGTCGGGCATAGCTAATCTTCGTTGGTGGTGCGACCGTGAAAAAGGCGTGGCGGGCTTTATATGTTCGCAGGTATTACCATATGGTGATAAACAACTGTTTCAGTTGTCGCAGGCTGTCGAGACGGAGGTTTATAAGGGTCTTGGGCTGGTGTAATATATAAAGGCATATTTACTGCTTGAATATTGAATTCCACGACTATTGAAGGCCATTCCTTGTAAAGTAGTTTTCCATTTCTGAGATGATAGCCAACCGAACCATTTACGGCCTGATTAGTTCCTCTAGAGTGTGGTACTGATTGGAATGATACCATTCAAATACCACATTCATAAACAATATCAAATTACTAGGTAACGTGGCAGTTACTTATAAAGAACGTTTCCAAACTAATATGAGGTGTCTGTCATTCTGAGGTGCTTTCTCAACAGTTAGTAGAGAAGAAACTATCGCCGTTTTATGATGGATGACAAGGGGCATTTGGATATTAGAGTAGTGCGGAAATCGCGTGGAGCATCCCAGAAAGAAGGACCAAAGCATAAACCAACTTTATCCGTCTCACGATATTATTCTGGTATGCCACGTTTGCTCGCCATATATATACATGATGGCTCTATCGCTTACGATATAAATTATGCAAGGGGGCGTGTGGCTTACCGCATATCGAATGAAACAGCATAGCCCAGTCACCTTATCTTGAGTCAAGCGAAAGTCTGTTCGTGGGCCCCGAGCAGGATACCTTTAATCCCGATAAGAACCTAAGATTGTATCAGCTATTCTTCCGTGCAGCCGTAACTTTAACACGGAGTAGTTGGCACCAGTGACCTCAGAGCTCTAGTTACGTTGCAAGGGCCCAACTCATCACTACATACAAATGTGTCCCCTGTGGACTAGAACCTGGAATATCGGGGGTATTATAGCAGTTGTAACTTGTGAGACAGCAAGGCAAGTTCCGAAGTGTAGCTTTAGTGCTAGAAGCCCTACATTCCACGTACCTTATTTATCACCCTTGTTCGTTGCCGGAATGTAACTTAGTGCGTGGCGTCCATGGTGATGCATGTGTCTATTAGAACCCGATCCATCCTCTACAATTCGAAAGCGCTCTTCCTTTGACACTCTGCTCTTTGGGACATAAGAGTATTGAATCATAAGTTTATTTGCTTCCTCTTAATAATGTCGGCATACTCATAGTCCGACTTACACCAAGTCTTTGCTCTATATCTCATGACTGGACACAGATTCATGAAAAATAGATTTTATATCGGGAAAATCATCAACTACTCTCTGCAGAGCATAGAACATGTCCCATAACCCTCCATTTTCTTTCCCTCTTGATAAATACTCGTTATGCACTTTTCTGAGGACGCGCAACGAATCTCTAGCGAAAACCCACTACCGGTATAGATTTTGTGCCGCAAACCAGGTGCCATCACAAGATGATATATCCCACATTGGATGCGGTGGAAACATTTTCTCAGCCCTCTTCTTTCCATCCGTCTTTGCAGCTTCACTGCCCGCAGAATATCAGATTCACCAAGCGTACTCCGTATACACACCCGAAGCCAAGCCTGCACTTGCAGCGACAAATCCATACAGAAAACACGCGCCGCAGCTGGGGGGTGACTTGAGGTCTACCAGAACGGTTGACAAAAACACTGTCATAGCCAAGCAAGCTGCCCCTGTAAAATAATACGGCCCAAGGGGGGCAGTTAAGCCGCTCGCAAGCAAAAGGCCTGCGTATAAGAGGGAGAGAGCAATAAGCACTCGTCGGCCAGAATGCCTATACTTCACTGCCATACTCTTGAGTCCCAGCGTGATATCCTCATCTACATCTTGATAGCTGTAGATGAATTCGTACGTCGTAGCAAGAAGGAGGACTGCGATCACCATACAGAGATTCGATATCATAATAGGACGGGGTGCTGAGAACGTATCGAAGCCGATGGAGGAGTATACTTATTAATGAGATCGTCACCTACAAACTGATGGCCTTGGCTGGACGGACCAAATCAATATTACTCAGATGCTACTTCGGTTTACCCTTGATCTAGCCACTGAGTTTTTCTTTGGCACTACCGTACACTCCCAACGCTACTCTAGTCAAGCACCTGGCCCAGACAACGATGGAATGTTCCCATGGAAAGGTCTAGGCGAAGATTTCGACGCTGCAACAAAGCACGTTCAAAACCGCTTTCGCCTCCTGAAGTTCTATTGGCTGCATAATCCAAAGAGCTTTCGGGAAAACATAAAGCAAGTGCACCGATTTGCAGACTTCTGTATTCGGGATGCTATACAGAGAGCAAACCAGCGGAAGTTGGATGCTACTTCTCAAGAGCATGGATACAAGTTTTCTCGACGCGCTAATTGACGTGACCGACAGTCCGATTGAAATGAGAAGTCAGTCACTAAACATTCTTTTTGCGGGTCGTGACACAACTGCAAGTCTGGTGAGCTGGTCATTCTGGCTACTAGCGAAGCATCCCAGTATCTACAATGAGCTACGAGGCCATGTTCTGAAACACTTTGGGCCGTATGAAGAAACGAATCGAATTACATTTGCAACACTGAAGTCATGTGAATACCTCCAGTATGTTATGAAAGAGGTGCTTCAGCTTTATCCTCCCACCCCGATCAACAGCCGGACAGCGATTAGAGACACGACCCTGCCTCTTGGAGGAGGGCCGGACGGAAAGTCCCCTATTGTTGTCAGGAAGGGTCAGACAGTTATCTACTATATCCATATAACGCAGAGTCTAAACGACTTCTGGGGTCCAGATGCTGATACGTTTGATCCAAGTCGCTGGGCCCACTATAAATACAACGGCGCATACCTCCCTTTCAACGCTGGGCCTCGCATATGCCTCGGGCAGCAATTTGCACTGACCCAAGCAGGCTATATTCTCACCCGTATGGTTCAGAAATTTGATCAAGCAAAGCTGGCGGATCCTGATATGGTGCCAACCCATAAACTTGGCGCAACTGATGCACCAAGTGATTATATGATATACTTCCACCAGGCTCCGACAGGTGATAACTGATTGCTTTCTATACTATGTTTACTAAAGGGTCATTATTTTAAATCAAAGGCCAATTCTTCCATGTAGAGGGTAACAACTGACCACCCTATAATGAACAATGATCCTTCTCCATGTACTGCCTATATTCTATCATTTCTCGACTTCCAGGAAAGGGCAGTCTTTGGTAGCTTCGCAGTCTTCCAGGTATATACATACAGTAAACAAAGGTATTTTCCAGCTGAATTGCGATTATTTCTCAACTCCTTAAGGCGGCTCGCCTAACATATATCTCATACACAGGGTGCAGGTATTGTTGACAGTGACTCCTAATGCGTTATTGTCATCAGCCATCGCCAGATATTTGTGCTCCACCCAAATATTTAGATTTTGTTCTCAATGAGAAGGCGCAATATTTAGGCCTAATTGGTCTCAAATGCAGTAGTCATATGGGGTATCTCTGGCACGTGCAAATTCAAACGTAT